CAAAAAAGATACAGGTTTTAAATATTAAACACCCAATGTTTTCTTGGAAACCGCCCAGCCCGTTTTCTACTCAGTCGATAATTCCATTGCTTCGTGTAAAAATGCAATCTAAATCTCCGAAAAAATTGGATATCCAAATCCCCACGACCATAACTAGCCTATGAGCTTCAGTACACACGAGGATTCCTATCAGCCCTAGGATTGAGGTTTGTGGTGGTGAGCAAAGCCACAACACCACAAAAAACAATTTCATTTTCTGCTTTAGGGCACGCTCTCATTGCTAATTGTTCTTATTTGTAATTGATAGTGATAATTTTTAAGCTCTTGGGGTTTTACTACTGAAAATTGTGATATTAATTCCCGTAACAGCAAGAAATCCTCGAGCCTTAACAGCTGGAGGACTGATGGATATCTCTATCCAGACCTTCAGCAATGTCAATATGTGATGGTCTGTACGCGATGTATTTTGACAGGTCATCCCTCTTCTATCGACAATTATTATTTTTACATATATCTTGAAAACGTCAATTGCGTATTTTCAAATGCTGCAGACTGTCGCTGGATCAGTGTAAAAGGAATAATTTAGAATGAATTATCTCTCTCACGTAATCATCGATTAACTCTGTAGTCTCTCAATTATAAGAAAATGCAATTGTGCGAAAGCAAAAAATTTTTCTGATTAAATTGTGATATTACTCTAGGTATGAGACGATTAATTTGTTTCAGATTTGGTTTAGATTCCAAAATCTTACCTTATTTGATGGCTGATCTTCTCTTCATTCAGCATTCAGATTCTTCAGCTGAGTTCCTGATTGCGACGAAACACCTGAACAAATATAGAAATCGATAAATAAATCTTGCAAAAAGTTTTGCTGAAGAGAAGTGACATGTGCATTGAAAAATTTTTTTGTAAAAATGCAGATTTAATAATTAAAAAAAATATCTCTTCACTTCACCACACGTGTCATAATTAATCGTCGTACCTCGAAGGAAAACAAAAAACCATTGATTAATTGGTTTTCTTTGTAGATGGCTGACATTCCTGGTAGCTGGTGCCTTGAGATGATAATCAGGCGGATCCCAGGCAGATGTTGTCGTCAGGACATTCGGAGACGAACTGAAATTTGGAAATGAAGAGACCCGGGTCACTCTTAACCAACACAAAAATATAAGCATATATATTTAATATACTATTCCCCAATATTCACGATAGTCGTAAAAAAAATGCGTGATTGCACCCCTCGAAAAGTTTACGGCTTCGAAAAGTTTGGATTCTCGTAATATCACTGATAAATAATTAATTCAGAGCATGAATTAGATTGTGCGCTGTTCGATTGAAAATTAGGGATAATTATCTATACGAAAAAAATCGAAAACTGCGGCATATATATTCATATATATTATAGGAAAGGCGGGGCGGGTAATTTTATTTGAATCTGATACAGTCCTGCGCATGACCTTCGTAAAATTGTGGGAACAGTATATTATGCTGAATAAATGTTGCATATGCCTGTCTCGATGAAACTTTGAAAGGCAAATTAAATAAATTCTAATAAAAACAGAATCGACAGTATAATGAGGAAACTGTTCTACCGAATGTCTCATGAGAGATATCGACTTAAATTATTTAAGGATACGATTTATTATTTTATTTCTACACATTTTTTGCCACAGCCCCTGCGAGTCGGATTTTGCATTTTTCGAGAAAGTGCATTTTTTTTAATTGCATTTTTTTTACTTTAATATTAATGATGTGCAGTTATCATTATCCACTATCAACTGGCCCATGAATAAATCTCGATAACACCGACAATTTACCTGTCATCAATATTTTTCCTTCCCCTTCCGCAGGCTAGATCCTAACAACAAGTGCATTCCATAGTTTTTTCCTGGCGATAAAAATAAAGTTTCAAAGCCGATGAAATCAGTAGAACTTTGGCAACAAAAAGAACTCGACATGTCTCGATTTGTTCTTTTACTCGTTATTGTTACGATGCTGTACGTGACCGGTAAGTTCATCACGAGAAAATCTTTCCGAGAATTTTTTCCTAAGGTCTCACCAAAAATTCTGTTCCTTCTCTTATAGACTGAGAGATATTCCTGGAATAATTACTAGTAACAAATGGATTTGTTACCCTTTACCTTTTCGCTAATAAATTATTGCAATTGCTTGATTATTGTTGTTGTTTTTTATATTATTTATAATTATTCAGATGCGGCTCGTAATTGTCCTCGAGGAGAACATTGGAATGATTGTGGGGGCTGTCATCCAACTTGCGCCCAAAAACTCGGCCCCCCATGTCCTAAGGTATCAACCATTCAAATTCAAGTGTCAATTCAAATGCCCAATTAATAAACAACTTGTAATTATTTAGATATGTCACCCGGATTGTTTCTGCAACAAAGGGACTGTCAGACGTGAGACAAAAGGCCCCTGTGTGAAAATTACACAGTGCCCGAATGGAATTGATTAAATTCAATAAATCCAACTATTGTAAACAATTTGAAAGATTTCAATAAAATCAAAAAAATTATTTACTGTTAATTTCAAAGCCTCAAGCTGTACTAGAAACTGCGTAATTTGTTTTGTGGAAAGTAAAAGAAAATTTAAGAAAATGGGAAGTACATGAGAAATGGATGAAATAATATTTAAGAAAAACAAACCCAATTTCTGATAACACTTTATTCACTTTCAATAATAATTCTCGGAAAATATTGAACAGGAGAAAACGAAAGTATATTAATCTCCATAAACTTTGCCCCGCCAATTCATTCCTCAATTACTATAATTTTCACCTATATTGGAAAAAAATCTAAAGATCTCAATAATTTTTGGTTCGCCATTACTCATCATACTCCGCACTCGCAATTTTATCTGCCTGAATGATAAATATTAAACAATGGAAAAAACTTTTCTCTCCATAATTTTTCTTTTCTCTCCAAATAGAAAAGAAATTCTTATTGAGGATCAGTTGACGAGCAGCCAGACGATTTATCATAATTCCCCGTTCTTTGTGACTTTCACGATGAATAAAAAATATTAACAATAGAAGAAAGAAAGAAAATTGCTTGAAGAGGAAATAAAATATGAAATCGCCTGGCCATTGATCAGGCCCCACTGCCCAAATGGATAAAATTCATCTCAAAGAGAAAAATCAATCATCGAGAGAAAGAACACATTTTGGCAAAAAAGTCACTGTATTTGATAGCAATACTGTCATACGATGTAAGCCTTTAAAACGTTCGTTACTTTTCTATTACAAATGGGACAGTATTTCGTGGCTTTCCACGTTTTTACAGCACACTTGTAGCAGCAACATATGTGTGACGCCTTTCCATGGACAAATACCCCGTCCTTAGGATTAACAGTGCACATATTGCAATTTTTATTGTCCCCATCGTCTTCAGGCTGTGCCGCATCAGGTATGTGAATTATGCGGACATCGGGTTGGGAATCCTTTGGTGTAGAACACTGACTGAGGGTCTTGTTGGGGACGAATCTAGAGGAAATACCGTCCACAATGTCGTCGGAGTTTTTCACAAACGATGGAGACGTTGGTAGGGTAATGTCTGTGCACTGGGATGAGGCCGCACTCTCAGAATCGAACTCTGAGATTGACTGACTCCCCTGACTCGACCCCAATCCAGAATCCATTTTCACCAGCTCCTCTTGCGAGTTTTTGGGCTCTAGGCTTGACTTTTCCAGGGATTTCGGTGCTTTTTTACTTCTACGTCTCTTCCATTTCGGTCGTGGGGGAAAGAAGTTCTTTCTTATCTGGAAGCATTTCTCACAGTAACGAAATAGGGGATTATTCTTCTTCATGTTGCACTGCACACATGTCCAGTAATCGGCGCGACCAATTTCGCTGTCAAAGGAGGAACGAGAGTCGTCACTGTTGTCAGCCTGGTCCATGTCCGATTCAATCAATTCGGCGAGAATTCCTTGGGGGATTATGTCCTAAAATTGATGAAAATTCATAATTTTTTTAACATAAAAAAATTTGAATACAGAAAGCGATAAAGAGATATTTGAAACAAATTAAAAATATATCTAATTATATCGAATGAAAAAAAAATACCTCGGGATCTGACGAAGACAAACCATCCAAGAAAGGATTGTCTGACTCAGACATCGATGCCACATCATACTCGACATGCACCGACACGTCTGCAGTGTCAGTGCTAATCCACGTATTGGTTGATGTGTCCGATGTGTCACGAGCAAACTCTGCAACCATAAAAATCCAATTACACCTGACAATCTCCACAAAAATTCCGCAACAAGACATTAATAAAATGATTCTCACCTGTTTCCTCATCCTGCACACTGTAAACAGTTTCAATATCACTCTCATCCTCGGACGTACCATCCGGAGTTTCACTCTCCAATGTCACATACCACGAGTACTTTTGCTTCTTCGATTCTGGTTCATTATTACCTTGTTCTGAACATCAAGTTATTAATTAAATAAAAATATGACAATAATCCTTGAATCTTTCTTAATCAATTTCTGTCACCACTTGAAAAAATTTCAATTTTATACCTCTACTTTCGAATGCGAAAAAAAAAACAAATGATTTTCTCTGAATATTCCGTCATGCTTAAAAAATGCTTAAAAATATCTACAACCATTTTTCCCTTCGTGACGTTAAAAATCTGGCCGAGGCACTAGATGATATGAACCTTACGTGAAATGATATTAACAGAATAAAAAAATGGACTCACCTTCATCATCAGAGCCTCGTGCCTCCCAAACATCCGAATTTATCGAGGCTGAATATTGGACATGAACAAATAATTATCGTTGTCTGTCTGTGGTGGATTATGCTCATGATGAATTTGTTCATTGTACATACCAGACGCTGAGCGTTTCAATGGAGTTGCCAGGCTCATTTTTTTTAATGTAAAAACGTTGTATCGGATTTGATTGACTGAGAGGCTTGGTCCTCGCTTGGATTTTATGTGTGAAAGGGCAGCGAAAAAACACTCAAGGTCTCCCGTACGATAGTTCAGAGTACACACACATAGTATAGTACAAATACGTAAAAAGGAAGTTGCTTACAGTTGCTTCCGTGCGAGTAACGACACGCAGCAACACGCGTCTACGATTGACGACTGAGGATTGAGCCAGGGTTGCCAGATACTGAGGAGAGGAAGTCGCCAGGCGAATGAGGTGGGGGCGCCTGAGAGCGCCAAACGAATTTCGAAAAGCGCCACTAACGCGCCAGTGGCACATTATTTAAAATTTTATAGAACATTGCGTTTCTTTATTAAAAGCTATAGAATAACATGAGTAATCTAGAATTCTCAACAAAATTAAATGAAATTCTTATAGAATATGGAATATAAGAGTATAACATATTATCAATTATAAGAAATTGACTAGGAAATAGGGAATAGGTAGTCTCAGCGGGCTTCATTAGACATCGTCCATAATCTCGAAAATGTCATTATTTTCTTCGATGGCTGCTTCGACATCATCATCGTCCTTGCTTTCATACATGTTACTGGATTTAAACATCCTTAACATCTGTTCACTGGGTACAAATGACGTGCAACATTGACCCGTGACATTGAAATGGACTTTGATCCTCAGAAGAGCCTCCAACATGCTCATTCCCATCTTATTGCGTACTTTAGACTTGATGAGATTCATGGCCGAGAAGACTCGTTCGACGCATGCATTACTCGTTGGGGTACATAGCATACGCAGAACAGCTTCGGCTAACTCTCTAAAAGAGAATCTCCCAGCACCATCTACGAAAGCAAACACCATAGGCCAGAAATCAATGATACTAACTGGGAGACGGTTGGAACAATGAATTTTCCAGTCAATGAAAAGCAACTTTTGCCACTGTGACTCGTAGACAGCTATATCTATCGCTGGATCAAGGAAAGGTCTTAAAACTTCAGCGATGACGAGGAATTTCTCTTGTTCAGGACCAAGGCACTTTAGTGGACTGAGTAGCTTATACTTCTTAAAGATTTCCATGTTCACTGGCAATCGTTTGGACATCTCCACTAGTAATCGTTTTAAGAAACCAAAACAACGTTGTTTCATTTCTAGTACCTTGTCAGAACTCAATTTCGTCTTTATTAGTTCTGTTGTCAGATCTATTCCAAAATCCACCGATTCCAGTGGCAAAAAAGCCAACTCATTATCCAGGGCATCGCAAACTTGATTCAGAAGATTCTCTCCATTTCGATGGATAACGAGGAAACTCGGCTTGAGTATCTTGCTAGCAAAGGATAAGAACGTTGTATACAATTCGTCATATGCACTTCCAGCATCAATCTTATCACTTTGGAAGGTCAAGTTCAGACTCTGCATTTGGCCAAGGATGTGTTTTAAAAATACCAAATAGAGTCGGTGAGAATCATCGAGGAGCATGGTGTGAATCGTTCGAGTACCATAGCATTTCTCTGATTGGCTGACGACTCTGAAATGAGTCTGCAACTCTAACCACTGTTCCAAAATTCTCTTACATGCGTCGTGGAATGCTAACCAGCGGGTTTGAGAGAGCTGAATCAATTGACGGTAGCGATTGCTTTCCACACCTGTATTAATGGTATCAAACAATCTTTTGTACTTGGCACGACGAAGTGGACTCAGTTTGAACCAGTTATAAACTTCCCTGACTAAATATTCCAATGAAGAAGGTAGCTCTTCCGATGCTTTGCAACAACATAGGTGAATTGAATGGCAGGAACATTTCAATAATTGCAGATTAGGAATGTCTTTCTTCAGTAATGCGTAGAGAGATTTTTCACGTCCACATAAATTACTCGCTCCGTCTGTTCCTATAGCTACCATGTTCTTCTTCGGAAGCTTGATGGTCTCCAAGTATTCACAAACACTCTGGTAGAGGCACTGAGCTGTAGCTTCTTCCACGAGAAATAACCCCAGGAAATCTGTCACCAGTTTCTCATGTGTTGTATTAAAATATTTGATACAGAGACACATGTATTTGGTTGTAGAAATATCAGTGGACTCGTCAACGATCAAGGAGTATGCGCCATTTCCAATTGCTGCAACCAATTCTGTCAACAATGCTGGAGCGATTACATTCTTGATGATGCTTGAACATTTTGTACGATGTAATTTCAGGTCTTCAATGATACTACCCTTGCCAAGGGGCTTGACAACATCAACCAGATGATCCACTGTTCTGATGGCTGAATGTACAGCGACATGTGCAGAAACCTTGATGGCAGCAATTTTTAATGCCTCGCTGACTGGCTGATTAACTGCAGAGGGAAAAAAATGAGAAAATCGAAAAATCAACCATTTACAATGCCTCCATTCGGAAACAAAAACAGTCAATAAAACGGATCGAAACGCAAAAAAAACCAAGAAAACTTTCTGTACCATAATTCGACATTTTGCTCTTGGCTGGTAGACGTATAAATGACATTTTGTCAGTGTGACTCTTGGATCTGCCATGTCTCTGCAAGTCTGATGAATGACTGCGCACTGTTATTCGACAGACTTTACAGTGGGCATCTTGATGTGATCCGTCTTCAGCAACCCCATCTCCATTTTTCTCCAGCCAGCCTGTCCGAAAAGAATATATAATAATTGAAAAAATGAGCTGTTCATGCTCGAGAAAGTTATTCAAGACGAAAGGGTGTTACAACCTTCAGCCCACTTTTCGTTTTCCCAAGCCTTGTTATATTTCCGTTTCGACATTTCTCGATCATCCAAAATAGTCTTCTCGTAAGAAAAAATAGAAAAGTGGTAATCACAATAAAATGAGAAATCGGTTTCAGGAAACAACACTTGAAGTCTTCAGGATTCTCACGATGACCACTATAAACACTCTAGTGTGCACTCTACGACATCAGAAGTCTCATGGTTATTGTTTACGTTCCCATTGGAGAAATGACTTTGGGGAACGGAGCAGCATCCAATTGTAAAGTAGGAGGAACGGAAAAAAAAAGACAAGCCGTGCACTCATCGGTCTGCCGGCGACAACGTGAGAACACCTGATTGGTGAACACGTTTTAAAATAAAGCGGGAGATATAAAAATACGTACATGTCGAGAATCAATGAATGAAATTTGACATGGAAAATTTTTCCTTAATTTTTCCTTAGTATTACCAGAATACCCCATCAAAATCCCAAAGCGCCAAAATAGCGCCATAGCGCCAA